TAGATTAAAATTATTTATAAATCAAGTTTTATAATATAAGACATGCATCTATAGCGAGCAGCGACTTAACTAAAGTATAATTTAGTAAGTTGAAAAAATTAAATTTTTTTGAAAAATGTATTATTCATAATTATTTTTAAAAAATGAATAGTTTATCACACTGAAACTGAACTGTAAAATATCTTAATACAAATCTCGCCAATTATATACCATTAATTTAGAATTTAAGTAGTTTATTTTAAGGGTCTTTAATTAAAATCATTTATTTGCCTATTGAAATTTGAAATCTATCAATATTTTTTAGTTCAAAAAATCTATAAACTGAAATGTTTTAAATTTCTTTGTTCRTAAAGTGGACATTTAGAGTTATCTTTTTTCATATTAAATCTAATTGACTATCTTGGCTATATTATATAATAGAAAAGTGCCTTGCTATTAGTTAACTGAAATACTGACTACAATACTACATCACCACTTGCAAAAAATTAAATATTTCTACTATTACCAACTCCAAATTTTTATAACATGGCGTATATTATATTATGTTTGTATTCATAATTTTAATGTCTCAAATCCTACGTTGTTCGAGCGGATCGTATAATACTATTTTATTTATTAATTAATTATTATTAATTTAAGTATTGTGGTTACCTACTAATTATTATTTTTATCTATCATAGAAATTATTATTATCTTACGCTTCGTCTTGCGCGTAAGTTACGATCGAAGACGACGCGCGACGATCGCGGTGATTGTGTACTTTTGACCGGAGGTGGTGTAATATTGATAAGACGGTCGCTGATAATTGTTATGTGCGCATCTATTATCAATATTATCATTAAATTATTCCAATCATTTAAATTTGAATTTTTTCGCGGATAATTTACGTACGTCAACGGGTCCTCGATCGCGCGTTGATCACAAATTCCATTTTTCGCTGCTTGCGTCACGAACAGTGGTCTCGGTCATATCCGTACTACGCCGATCCTGCCTTTGCCTCGATCTTTATTACTGCGACACGGCCTTTCCAGTCTCTAGACCGGACTTGACGACGACACGCGACTTCCTGTATCTTTTACTCTCACATGTGCTACTTCTAATGGTGAACGACTGCGAGATGAATGGCACGGCCGTGGGCGACTCGGAAGAGAYGGTGGGACCGTCGACGTCATCTGCTAGGTCCAGTAAGCGACGTGTACGCGGCACCACCAGCCGCACRGTCACCTTGCAAATGCTGTTGGAGACAAATATACTCGAGCCTGGCAACTCTGTCTTATCACTCGAGTACATGGTATATGGAACAATCTTTCCGTCTCARTGCCGAGCGGCATGCGCTTGCTCATAGTTGATTTGCATGGTTTTCATTTTCAATTCCTTTCGTATAATTCCATTCAATAACTGTTAATAACATTAAATGTATACCCTTTCTGCAATAGCTTGTGATTGATTATATATTAGGAATATATTCTGTTTACGTTGTGTTGTTTTATTTTATTCATTTTTGTTCTCTGTGTCATAAGTTTGAACTTGAAGATCACATGTCGATCATACATATATAACCATGTACTTGTTGTTGACTGAAATATACTCCCTGTTGTGCTTTTATTCAATCATTTTTAATTTTTTGAGCTTATTATTGCTGTGTGAGTAAACTGTCAAATGGATTGAATATTTTTATTCCTGTTTTTGAAATTGGGTTGAAAAGTAATTTRATTTAAGGATGTATTAAAGTAAGAAATAAATGTAAGTTATGATTTTTATTTAAATTATAATCTTTTAAAGGAKTTTTGGTTTACATAATTTTGAAACTACCTAAATAATTTTTTTTTAGGGTCAACGATTTATGGGAGATTTATTACCAGATGGCAAAATCCGATCAGTTGAGACATTAAACGAATTTGCATCTCCTAGTGCATGGGCCTACAATTGTAAAAGTATAATTAATAAAATAAAAAAAGCTGGCTGTGGTTGGTCATCAGTAAGTKCAATTCATAATAAATACATCAAATAGGTACATTCTTTAAAATGTTATAAAAATCCTTCTTGCCTAAGTAGTCTAAATTAATAATACTCTATTGTTCACTAGGTTTTTAGTAATTTTATTTTGATACTTAAAAGAAATATTGCTTTTTTGATTTATATACTTTATATTATATATCCGTACTCATAGGTATAAAACAGCTCATTGTATTTTT